AAATACTCCAGATGTTTCTCGCCGTTCGTCATGAAACCAAGAAACCCACCGTCACTTGGACGCATCTGCGAAAACCAAAAATCCCTATCCACCTGAAGAGGAGTTAACAGGACTGACTGTTGTGGCCACCTAAGCATGACACAGGAATTGTAACGCCCCAGCAGTTTAAAAGAGGTGGTCTTGCGATGCAGTTCAGGAAGGATTAATAGCCCATTTTGCTCTTCACCTGTAGACCCCTGAATATACTGCTCTACTGCAAGTTCAAAAATATAATTATCAGAAAATTCAAAAGCGGAAATATGAAAACTGGATTATCTACCAGAAGGCGTGCATGTTCTTTTCGATTCTGAGTCGGACCTGTCGCAACTGCGTCAAACAGCCGCAGAATACTAGTGAAACACGTGTGCGAGCTTTAACTGGTGCCCGAGCCGCCTGTATGGTCAGCAATTACGTAGGTTATGCAAATGATTGCCTGATTGCAGCTTATTAATATAACGCGGGTATCCTGCAGTGGCTGATGGACTACGGCACAAATATTCACATCAACTAGCGGTCTACACCCAGAGACTTGAATAGACTGATTTATTCTGAGTTAGAAATCACTTAATGATGTTAAGTATTCCTATGGCTGTACCTGACGACGCAGCCTAAAATAAAACAAAACTGCAACCCTAAATGTAGCCCTTACTGTAAGGCGAAATCCTAAATTTAGCACAAACCAAAATGGTAACCTTTAACATAAAGCTAGCCATAACCCTATTCCTAACCTTAAACCTAACCCTCAACCTAACCCTTATCATCACCTCGGCGCAAGGTCACATGTATTATCGGTGGTTCCTGCTTCCGTATCCAGTTAAAACGGCTGTGCGAGTAACATTTTGTGCGAGGACATTTCCAAATTAATGTAGAACACGGTAATTTTGACAGGGATACAGACATGCATCGCAGTGGTTTGGTCGAAGAACAACCAAGCTCGTGTGAAAATATGCAGGTTTTAGTAAACAAGGGCTATTATATCGACGAAGAGGGCTATGACAGTGAAGATATAGAGGTAAGAAGTGAATCCTGATAGTTTAACTTTATAGAACATGGCTTCTCTCCAGTCGGATGATTAATAGTCAGCATGGCCACGTCATCACTGTGCTGACCACCTTTAACTTTGTACGAACTCGATAAAACAGGAGATCTACTACGAACGCTTAAAAAAATCTTAAAAGTTGGGGCTGCTAAAAGGTTACCTCCTACATCACTGCCTTCATTTTATTGCCTAAAAATAATTTTGCACATAACGAATGCCAGAAAATTAAGATATCACAATTACGTAGAAGAGAGCACAGAAGGATCATTGCTTACATTGAAGTTTTCCTTAATCAAATCCGCTTCTACGCCACCTGCAAGGACCGAGATACCGCGCTGAATTGCATGTCGAAGCAGAACTTGAGCCGGCGTCTTCCCATGGGCAAGAGCAATTTTCTTCACATATTCTTCCCCCAACGGAGATGGGATATCCCTGTCCAATCGCAACAATACACGAATTATATAATAAACCATCAGAGGTATAGCGCGCGAGAGTTGAAACAGTGAATTGCAATTGGGATTTGTGCGTCAGCCGAATATGGATAAAGAAGAGTCGGAAGCATCAGATTGTGAAAATAATTTCAAGAAAAAGAGGGTATGAATACAGTCCGGTAAGAGAAAGAGGGAATCAGGTCTCCCCTGTTCTCAATTACCATCGTTACCACCACCATGCCAGCATAATATGTTGTCTCCAGGTCGCATCAAGGGATTTTACATTTTGCTGCAAAATCCGGAGATTTCCTGTTTCCATCTATAGTTACTGTGCTGAATGAAAGGAAGGTCAACAAATCTCGACAGAAAGCTACTCGAGAATCCTTGGTGGCAGCTAATGACTGCTTCAGGTATCAAACGAAGGAAGTTTGTTATCTGTATTTGCAAGAAGGTTGCATTGCATACGATGTCAAATCCAAAGGACAATCTTATGTAAGCTATCAGCAATGGGTCAAATAGCTTTTTCTCTCTAATCGACATCGCGTCTTCAGGATGCTACCGTCTAAGCTAGTTCTGGAAGGTTTAACGGACGGTTAAGGCCTCTAACATCCAACCCAAGTAGCGTGTTTGTTTACGTGGGAGCGTAATTCTTCTCTTTACTACATTTCCTTCCGTAGAGATATACACAGCCTACTTCGGCCGACACCGGTGTCTCCTCTGAATAACTCTGTTGATAATCTGGCAAAACTATCTTGTAGAGCCGCCTAATCATCTTTCCCCCCCGCTCAACTGTCTTACGGAATTGGTGGTTAAACATTAAATTCTTCGTTAACGAATGTAAGTGAATATTAATTGTGTTGAAAGTGATCAAAGAATATGAAATTGGAGTCACTTATAATTGTTTTACTGAACTAAATATAATCAGTTCCGTGAATATAAACCCCTGTTGCTCATGCAACTGATAACTATTGATGGAAATTTGACCTTATATTGGCGGGATTGAACAAAAACTGGAAAGTCTGGCTACTGAACATGTAAAAGTAGTTTACTATTGTAATTCAAAGGCAAATAGGACCTCTAAAGACAGTCCTATTGACAATCTTTTTGAGCACTTTGTTGGATGGAAATATACCAGACACGGTGTATGTCACAATGTCTTTAAAGTACACGTCGTGACGTCCGCCTGTCCAGGGTGTCTTTAGGTCAAAAAGACCACTTAAACCCTGAGCTGACAGAGCCTAATTGCTGCACTACGAAATCAGCTGGCGGACAATAAACTCAAGATCTGGGTCTCATGCCAAATTAAACACGCCTCCAACCAGAGAGAGCGGGTGTGTTAGAGACTGTGCAACTCAAATCTCACCCTATTCCCACTGTCCCTCAAGGAACAATAGTTCCCGTAACGTTTGCAGCAAAACACCGCCCTATTTTCAGTTACGTATTACTAGCTTTATCAGTAGATGAATCCGTTAAAAGCGAACATTTTGCGGTGGATGATACCTGTTGCCTTCATATAGAAATAGCACGTTCGATGATTTTAATCCGATTGGGTAAAGTGTGCTAGTCCATCATTGGCTATAGGATTGGGGTTTCGTACACTGATAGGACAGTAGGACCGTCGAATCCGACAATATCCATCGCGTGCTTCAGCGAGCTAAGGCAAACGCGGCGAATTCTATTGTGAGTTAGTTTTGAATAATGGGAGACTTACGCTACGCCCAAAGCACTCTCTCCCTTTCATGGTATACGAAAAATAAAACAAAGGACCCGCTTCATCAGCTTACTTAATTAAACCTGGACAGCCGAAAGGTGAAAAGGCGGTGATATGGATCCCTTTCGAGGAACAATAATCGAGCAGCTTTTGATTTGGAAAATTCACTGTCACCTCGACTTGGTTCACTGCCGGAGGTATTTTGCAGACAGCCAGAATGCGCTCAAGTTGGGCTTTGTTAAAGTTAGATACTCCGATTGACCTAACCAAACCAGCTTCAACTAGCTCTTCCATGCCCTGAACAGAAGGCGATACAAAACGGGTAACGGTTATTAGGGAAAAAAATATCAGCATAGCAAGTGCGGCGAAAACTTAATCTGCGGCGTGAAATTTATGCTAAAAAGTTGAAAAGGTACGTGCTACAACATACTCAACAATATTCAAGTCATGAAGGAAAGAGAGAACTAATTGTGAACAATCCCCTATCCAACCGGCAAAAGACTAACCCACCTTCCATGTCTCTTCCAGAGGTACATTTTCGAATTCAATTGCACTTCGGTCGAACATTGAATACTTCTTACCCTCTATTACCTACGAACGTAAGGCCTTGGTAACGGAACAACCTTGAAAGCCATCGGATAATGAACGAGATACAGATCCAGGTACTTGAGTCCTAGGTCCCGCAAACTCTTCTCACAGCCTGGACGCACATCCTTAAGGCAATGTGAATCGCTCCATAACTATATCTTAAGTTAGATTAAAAGTGCATAATGCCTTTGATGTGATGAAAAGATCCTCACGTTTCACAGTTCCATCATCCAACTTTTTTTTGAGGGCTCTTCCAATTTCAGCTTCATTCCCGTAAGCAAGTGCGCAGTCGATGTGCCGATAGCCCGTATCAATTGCACATAAGATTGGTTCCTCTGGCTCGTGCGGCATTGGCTAAAGCTAGGCTTATTTAAAGGGAACCAACCATAAACGTGCCGAATCCGACTTGAGGTAATTTGTAACCGCTGTTGAGAGGCAGGAATGTTTGTTGCGAAGCCATGCGAATGGAAATGTCAGTCGCAGCGACTTAATGAGTCGCCAGACCGTCAGTTATAGATCTGCTTACCTAAGGCCTTGTTCGAGTGAACGTATCATGTTCGCGTCTTATCAGGAAAGTGTAAATGTGCCATTGGTTAACGAGTGGTGGATAGTTTACAATCCGGACCAATCGCAGCACCAGGGTGTTCACGATTGGACCAACAACGAGAGCCAATGAAGACATTGAGGCGTGCACGGCATCTAGGGTCCAGGGCATGGCGTAGTCTAGACTTTTCTCCTCGTCTGCGCTAAACCCGATGACGCACGTGACGCAAAGCCGGCCACTGTCGCAAATAAAGATAGAGAGTGCATCTCGCCGCAACACCGGCTTGCTAAGGCGGCTTATAACTCCACGTAGGTGTGTAAACGTTCACGCGAAATCAAGAAGCTAGACGGCGCCAGACTTCTTACATCAACCGAGGTGAATGTCCCAGTACCGGGTACATGTATGTAAAAAGAATAAGGATCTATGATTACGGAACAGTTTTTTTTATTTCTCTGTGCTTTCCAAATAACACGGGCACCCTACGACAGAGATGACAGCAATAGCAGAGCAAGTAACCTTTAAAAAGACGTAGGCTAATCCGCGATCTGTACAAGACGAAGATCACTAGATCAGCAGAATTTAATGACGTCATAAATTCCGTGACCTCTCATTCAGCTGCAGACGGTCGTTGCCTATTAATAAGATAATTAACTGTCGAACAGAAGCGAATATGCGTGCCCAGGTTCTTGTTGTAAAGAAGAGGAAGACTTTATAATTAACTGTCCGGCAAAAT